CTGAGACTGAATGGCTGAGACTGAATGGCTGAGACTGAATGGCTGAGACTGAATGGCTGAGACTGAGAGGCTGAGACTGAATGGCTGAGACTGAATGGCTGAGACTGAGAGGCTGAGACTGAGAGGCTGAGGCTGATAGGCTGAGGCTGAGAGGCTGAGGCTGAGAGGCTGAGGCTGAATGGCTGACGCTGAAAGACTCAGGCAGAATGATGAAGCTGCACGGTACAGTCATCCATCTGTGAGGCGCTGTAGCATGCTGTAGCTACAATAGGTGCCAGGCCTATGCAACGTGAAGCCTTCCTTGTGCAAACGAACAGTATAAGAAGAGACATGACAACGACGTGCACGAACACGAACACACCATTATGGCGTACAAGTGTCAGTGAACTGCAATGCACTGCAGTTAGGAAGGAGAACAAACACACAACAAGCAGGCGAAGCGTTCAGCTCAACACAGTGGTTCCTTTCAACGTGCACTCCTTACCAGTGCGTGTGCGGCGAGGCACTGCTGTGAGAGTGACGGGGCCGTTCTCATCCATCGACTGCATCAACCATAAAGGGGGGACAAAGGGGGGGGGGGGGGGGGGGGGAGAGCGCGGGGAGAACGAGGGCAGAAAAGGAGCGGTAAGACGGAGACACGCGAGTGGGTACGGAGCTCAAGGAAAAAACGGGGAAACGGCGAGTAGGAACGGTCAAGCGGCAATGAAAAACATGAGAAGAAACAGCATGCTTTATCTGGCACAACCAGACATTCCTCTCCCTACCTCCTACCAGGCTACCCCTCCCCACACGAACCTCGAGCTTCGACCCCGGAAGGCGGAACTTCGGCGGACGCCTCGAGCCCGCGGGAAAATCCTCGCGCGGATCCCCGGGCGACGGGGAATCACCATGCGCGCTAATCCCCGCGGCCTCCCCGGCCCCCGCGCCTGCGCCTGGTGGCGGAGTGGCCTCTTCCTCCTCGTCCGCTTGAGGGGAGAAGGGGGAAACGGCCTCGGACGCACTTCGCTTGCGCTTCGTTTTCGAGCCGTTGGATTCACCAGAGCCTACTCTCGGTTTGTCTCGCTTCCGGCTATTAGCCCCCGTGGAGTTGTACGCGTTAGTACCACCTCCAACATTATTTCCGCTGCCAATGTCGACAAAGTGTCGACTGGATCCCTCGATACCACCACCTCCGCTTGTGTCACCTCTCGCGATTCCTCCTCGTGAGCCGTGGCTCTCAAGTCCAGACCCATCGGGTGTGGAATGCCCGGCATCTGTCCGAGGGTAAGGTTAAAAAAGGATAAAGAAACAGCGAAGAAATTAAGGGCCTTGAAATTGCATAGGAATGTCGGATAATATAAAACGTTTTTTAAGTCATCTGCGTGGTCGATATACAGGAATCGAAACCTTTCCTATCGTAAAAAGGCCCTTCGGCAGAAGTCCCTTGGTATCAACCGGAGCAAGCTAGCTGAAGTTAAAAATGGCTTTCTTATAGCGCGCATAATCCGAAGCGGAAGAACAAAAAAAACACTTCGTAAGTCGGGCGTAGGCAAGTAGCGATTTTAAGCAAGACGGCTGCAAAGCATCTGCAATTATATTGCGCTCTTATGACGCTAAAACTATCGAATGGATACACAGGGTAAAAGACAGCGCAGTCTGCTGTGGAATAATAGCGCCGTGAAGAATACGACTAATATAATCTGTTCTGTAACTAAACCTCCGTTCTTTCGAAGCAGTACCGTAGCTATTTCGTATGCTGATAACGCGGACGGAAAGAAGAAAGTGCTGCCTTTCGTAACAACGACGGAGCACGACAAGCTCAGCGGGTAAACCGAGAAAAACTGCAAGCTGCATCTACCTATTGACTGCATTCTCTTGAATCAACGACCAAAGAAACTTTAGCGGTTCAAGAATTCAACAGCTTCAGCCACTAACGCTCAGCTAAGAAGAACCTCAGCAGGGATTGAATCTGACAAGCTTAGAAGAAGAAAAAGCAAATTAAGAAATTATAGCGAAGGAGCGGGAAAGTCGTTCGTCAAGAGTCACTTATGATCGACAAATCCCGCAACGAAAGAGGCCGACAACACGACAATGTTCACTAATGCTTGTATGATTTACGCTGACTAACCTTCTTAATCTCCCCATGGAACGTCAGATCCACACCGTAACTTCGCCTAAATTAACAAGCTCGGGATCTAATCGAGTAGATAATTACTACGCATTATCGACTGATATTTGAATTACCTTGAGTCTCCTTGGGTCCAATGGAGCTCCGCGACCGACGTTGCGTGGGAGTGGTCACGGGACCCTTATCACCTTTCCTCGTTTCTCTCATCCTGTCCATACTCGCAGATAACGATCGGGATTTCTGACTTCAACAATAAACCACGCGACTGGAAAATCTGGCCTATCGATGAAAGCCTTCACGCCTAACGGCGTATCTAGAAAGCCTGAAAACGAATTTCTAGCCGCAACGTCGGCTAGCTTTCATTAGATTCCTATCAGCGTCAGAGCCTAGGCCAAACTCGGCCTCAGTCACGGGACTGGCATTGCGACCAACACCCATCGCAGCAACCGGCGAAACCGCAAATAACCAAAAGGACAACAACTCTCCTGGGAAAACCTTTCCGTCACCTCGCTGGTGGTTCTTCAACAACCCCAGACACACGCATCTAGCTAGAACCTAGAACAAGTGTGGATCATGGGCGTTGGTGTAAGGGAGGAGAGGAAAAGAGATGAACGGAGAGAAGCGGAGAGGAGAGGAGAGAGAGAAAACCTTGGCAAAGCAGTTGGTGCTTGCTTCTCCCGCCAATCAGGGAGAGGCTTTCAAAACAAACCCCTGATTGGGCCGAGGCATATCCAGCCTCCAGCCAGGCTCGGGCACGGGTTTGGCGGGGAAAGCAAACGCGAAGAGATGCGAGCAGGTTTGGTCGGACCAGGGTATTGTTTGGGTTTGAGGTTCGGGCCTCCGAACCGTTACAACCCAGCCTGCTGACCTGGAGATAGGTGCTAGACGTCTTCCTCTTCCCTGTGTGCCTGGTTGAATCGTGTTCAGGTTGCTGAAGCTGCTGATAATATTCCGTGCCTTGTTCGGAGCTGTGGCCGAGCCACACCCAGCGTCCAGGCTTTGTGGGGTTTGCTGGAGATGGCTTGGAGGCGCCAAGTACACACTGCCACGTGGTTGAGGCGTGACTGGTTGCTGGTTCAAAAGGGTGATCCAGAGTTCTGAGCTCCAGTGTGAGGTGGGCGCATGACATGGCGACGGAATACAAACAGCTCTTGATTGGCTGAGCTTATCGGCTTTGGGGAATCTGCGCTGCTCTGGCTCCCAGGAACCGCGGTTGGGACTGTCTGGTGAGTGGAAGGCCACAGCAAAGCTGGCCAACGAACTCGATCAGGCGGGCAACTCTGGTCCGAGCCGAACTCAAAATCAAAGCTCAAACCGAGTGAAACGAAACCCTCCCACAATTCGAAATTAGGGCGTGTTCGTTTTTCCCTACAATGTTCGAACTTTTGTGGTAACCATCTGTCGCGAATGTCGCATAAAGTGTTCGCCAAGACCTCGTTTTGAGAGTATCCGCTTTGGGACACGCTCTGGGTTCGAATCCAGTGCCAACGCATGTGTTGCCAACGTTCGAACTAGGCACGATTGCACGAATTCGAATCCTGGCTATGTGCGACGCCACAACTTTGGTGTGCGACTCTGCGACCTTTGCGACATGCAATCCAGAATTGGAGGGAAACCAAATGTGTACGGTCAATCTTGACATGTGCGGCGCGGCTGAAACAGGCATTGCGAAATTGTCTAGGCCAGCCCACACATGTCACCCTCGTACAAATACAGCTGCAAACCTCGTCGATAGTTGTGCCAGTTCAGTCCGCTCGATAGTTGATTTTTCCTAGCACAGCCATGGCTACCAATCAGCCCACTGACGCTACAGACGACTCCAACAACTCCCCCTTTCAGCCGCCATCTGCGCCACCCCTTGCTCGTGCCACCGGCACTGCCCCAAGCACTGCTATTAATCTTGACGACATGCCAGCCAATAGTGACGACCTAGGTAATCAAGACGCGGCGTTTGCTGCTAGTGACTACGGCGACGTTGATGACGACCTAGACGACCTCGACGACGTCGACTTGTCTGACGACGAGGCTCCGGATGGGACTGCTGCGGCTAACACTCTGGCGCGCTGTGGCGATAATGGCAAACGTCCGGTCGCCACTGGTGCGCGCTGGGTGCCGGTAGAAGAGCATCAGCTCGCAATCGTGCGCCACGATCTCCACACCCAAGTGGAGGCGCAGAATAGGCTTCAGGGGCAGAACATCTACACTACTGTCACCGAGGAGCTTAAGAAGCGGCATCCGGAGTGGCGTCACACATGGCAGGCGGTCAAAGCCAAGCTTCTCCGCATGGAGGCTCGCTACCGCAAAGTCCGTGACAAGATTCTCAAGAAGAGCGGTCGCGGTCGCCCGTTGAAGCTCCCGCCCTGGTATGAGCTGTTTGATGTCATTTTTGGCGAACGGGAGAACGTAAACCCCACCCATATTGCGGCCAGCACGACTGCCCCTCCGCGGGCTGCTACACACGAGCAAACCCCAAGGCGTGGCGGCCAGATCACCAGCGGTAAGGGCTGCGTTTCTGTATATTTGTAGTTTAAGATATCATGTTTCCTAACCCGGGATCATGAGAGGACCACATATGCAATACATTCTGCCCTTGCAGGCATTCCGCCTCTGCATGCTGCAAATCGTACTGCATTGACAAATGCCATGGCTGGGGAAGGGTCTTCCCGTGCACCGCGCGTCAATTATCCCGGTGAGAATTATCACTAGAACGTTAGAAATACTCACATCAATTATCATTCCACCACCACATACACCCTACACTAACATACTGCCCCCCATGTCAACTACCCCCTTGCCCGTGGCAGCACCAGTGGCAGCTCCTACGGCTGCCAATCCTACTCGCCCTCAGGGTCATGTGAACCTGCAGGCGTCGCCTACACCCGGGCCCCGCTCGTCAGTTGCTCCCGCCGCGGCGACGGGCGTTGCGATCCGGGGCGGTAGCGTCGTCCGCCGGACGGGGACGCCTCCTGTGGGAGAGGGGAATGCGGACCCGCGTGACTATGGGATGCATCGCGAGCGTGGCAAGGCTGAAAGGCAGGGGATGATTGATGAAATGGCAGAGCGTATGGCTCGAACGGTCAAGGGCGTACTTGCAGAACAGTGGGTGGAGTTTGAACGTCTTACCCGAGAATTGGCCGGCTCAAGGAGGGATGACCGAGCCTCCAGGAAGCGTAAGAGTACCCCGCCAGTCGACTCCGACGACGATTCGGAGTGAAGCCGGGCGTGGAGGGGCGGTAATGCGGTGCGTTCGCCACCGGACCCGCAAGCCACCAGAGGTTGCGCTCGCGGGGGACACCGAGGCGAGGGCGTTCGCCGAGCACAAGCTCGATGTTATGAATCACCACGGCTGCTGAAACCGTGGCCACAACCCGCCCGATGTGACTCTCCATGCGGCCGTCCAACACCCTCCATTTGCCTTTGAGTCGGCCAAAGACCTGCTCCACTACCATTCTGGTCCGAGACTGTTGCAAGTTCCAAACATGCATAGCACTAGGTAGGGGCCTGCCGGGAGTAGCACGAAATGGAGTGTATGTGTAGGAATGTAGACCATATGCGGCATCGGACACAATAACGTAGTCATGTAGGTCTCCCGCTTCGATCCTAGCATGTGCAGGACTATTGTTGAACACACGGGCATCATTCACGGAGCCCGGCCATCCTGCAAAAAAGTCCCAAATGTAGCCGGCAGAGTCGCATATGATTTGTAAAATGATGGAGAAAAAGCCTTTTCGATTGCGGAAGTCCTCTCGGTGAATGCCCCAGCCCCGCGTTCGGATGTAGGTTCCATCAATGGCGCCCACGACTCCGGGGATGCCTCCTCTCATGCGAAATTCCGCCGCCATACGCCCCAAGTCGTCGAGCGTTGGCCACTTAACCCACTTCGGGACTAGCCAGGTCGTCACAAACACGATGAAGATGTCGTAGACTTTTTTGGCGTAGGAGACACTGAATCCAAAGTGAAGGCCGAGCTCCCTGTAGCTCCATCCATGTCCCATCCGAGTGAGTGCCAACGCCACTTTCATAAAGTTGCCGTCGGGCTGGTTCGGTCGCCCGAATCCACTGAGCTCGTAATGCCGCACGAGGTAGACGTAAACGCGACGGTCAACGCGCAGGTAATCGTAAAAGCGGGCGTCGGGAAGCTGTTGCAGCAGTCGCATCCAACGCCATCGGGCGTCTAAACGGTCCCCACGGACGAAGACTCGAGTCGTCATCATGGTGGCCGCGACAACCATGTCGGCGATGGCGTTGGGCAGCGCCACTACGAGGGGGAGCACGAACGAATGCACGTAGCCCGGCCACATGATGGCAAGCAGCTGGAGAAGGCGGCGGAGAGACATGGCGTGAGAAGTGGTCCCTCTAGTGCCACTAGAGATGTGTTGTGCATTGTCGAGTGAGTTTGTGCATGCTTTGTACTTGAGCAATGTTGCTAGCACTCTGCATGTCAAGAATGTTTTGTCTGGGCGCTTCGATGTTTGTGCGGTTCGATGTTGGTGAGTTGTTTGGTGCATGGCTTTCATTGGCTGGTCACATGTTTGCTGGAAATGTGCGACTTTGCTGACTTGGCTGCGACACTTTGCAATTCTGCTGCGCGGCCCGCTGAAATCCGAATATCGAGGTGTGACATGTTTGGGACCAGATTGTTGGTCAAGGTTTCCAGCTCGGGTGACATAATAGGGGACCATGTTCGAATAGTACAATTCGATTTTTGCAAACCCTTAAAATTCGAATTCGAAATTCGAATTTCTGACCCCCCCGACAAAACGAACACGCCCTTAGGATCCAATATCGATGGCGAAAGTGGTGGCTTGTCCCAACAAGGCTTGACAACGAATATCGTGGCTCGGTATGCGACCAGACCAAAAACCTTGCTCCGAGGTGAAGAGGCTTTCACTCCAAACTACCAGAGCTCCGACCAAGCCACGGTTTGGGCAGCCAGACCGAAAACAGCCACGTCATCAGCGTCTCGAAACGGTGACAATCAGGCTGTTAGTGGCACATGATTGGTTGACGCCCCTGATTATGTCGGTCGCCTTGGAGGCTGATGTGTCGAAGGAAAGCCCACATGTTCTGGACTGCTGAGTCGTTTCATGACGGCTCAATGGTTGGCCGAAAAATCCTTTCTTCCTGCCCTTCACTGGGGGAAAGCTACAAGTTACCAAAATATTATACGTTGCCACGTCAGGGATCGGCAAGCACGATGTGGACCGCCCTAAACCTTCGGAAACAGCACCACGGCAAGTGTCCTCATTCATTGTCGCGTGAGACGCGAACTCGCTGGATGCACAAGTCCTGGAAAGCTATGTATACATTTCAAACGTTTGATCTTCAACTTTGGTTGAAACCAATAGCATCAAAGACAGACTTTTGGAAACAAGCTAGTATGATGGACACCATGCTCCTGCAATCTTTACTGGAAATTGTGTGTACATATCAATACATTGCCAACAGCAAAGCGGTTCACAATTCAGGGTCAGGGAGGCTTGGTGTGGTCCCAGTACGTATATGATGTGGGGAAAGAGTTACGGTACGACTCTGTGTACGAGACTAAATATGTTGAGCACACAAGCACAGTGTCTTCGGGATAAGCGTCTACATCTGGGCTGAGCATCTACAGTGGGCCCGAAATCACATGTATATAGCTGGGTGGGTGCACTCCCATCCGAGATGGTTTTACTGCGTCACCGTTTGAACAGTCAGTATCAGCACCTACTAAAAACAGTCTGCGAGCAGCATTGATTTACAGCATTTAGAAAGCTTGCTTTCTGCTTTTTGCAAGGCAACGTGCTTCATTTCAATTGGGCAACGTGCTTCATTTCAATTGGGTAATTACAACATTCTCGTCCAACTAAAACAACACATAGAGATCAACTAGGGGCGGGTGGGGGGGAAGCGGAACTGTAAAGTTCCGAAATGAAGACGTGGGTGGAGGCCAAATGGCCTCCAACCCTCGTTATGTACTCGGAAATTTGCATTTGCAGTTGCCTTGCTTCACTACAGTCAGCTGCGCTTTCAAAATACATATTTTTAGAAAGTGTTTCACACTTTCAAAAAAAATCATATTTAGAAAGCTTGCTTTCTGCTTTTTGCAAGGCAACGTGCTTCATTTCAATTGGGTCTTCTGAGACATATGCGTCCGCGTACGAAGTGTGGATGGCGGAGCTAATTAATAGCGATGTCCAGTGAGATCGACTGTCAATGACGGACGTTGCGCTCCCCGACGACGATGTTATGCGAGTTGCTCCTTCCTTGAGGTATACGTATGTGCCGATGGTTGTCGGTGGAGTGGAAGACTGTGGTGTGAAGTGACTTTGTGCTGGCGCGTGAGGTGGAGGAGGTGGTTGTTGAAAACGGCCCATCTTTCATTGATTAAGTTGCCAGTGTTGCGTGAAGACTGATGCCGCTATTACCATGTTCGTTAAATAACATGGAGGTGTAGGGTCATTAGCTGATAGCAGTCGTGAAACTGGGGGTGACTGACCAGATTTTGAGGAAAGGGTGCCATTTGGCTACGTCAATAACTGATGCGGTGGTGGTGGGCTTGACATACAAAGCTAAACAACGTCGTAGCAGATTTTTGCAATACGATACATTGCAAATCTGTCCAGGGTGCATCATGACCTTGTATAAATGAAGGCGCATAAGTCACAGATGAAGGCGCTTAATGAGTAACCTGTCGTAGTTGCTATTGCACCCGTAAGATATAGTAACGAAAGGGCCCAGAATCGTATATAATCGTGGTGGAGCGGCCGACTACGCCGACCAGGGCGGTGCGGCATGCCTCGTTTGCAAGATTTGTAGATCCAAAGAGCTACTAGTTCGTAAAAGGAATGTCGCATAACAATACGTATTGTAAGAGAGCTTGAGGAAATGCCTCCAATCGCAGGTTACTAGCCCATCAATTGCCCATCTCTCGGCACATTGGTTGCTCATCTCTTGGCCCGTCGGTTGCTCGTCGCTTGGCCCCTCGATTGCTCATCGTCGGCCCATATGTTGCTCATTGCTCGGCCCGTCAGTCGCTCATCTCTTGGCCCGTCGGTTGCTCGTACCTTGGCCCGTCAGTCATTCATCTCTTGGCCCGTCGGTTGCTCGTACCTTGGCCCGTCAGTCGCTCATCTCTTGGCCCGTCGGTTGCTCGTACCTTGGCCCGTCGGTTGCCCATCGCTCGGCCCATCGGTTGCTCATCGCTTGGCCCGTCGGTCGCTCATCGCTTGGCCCATCGGTTGCTCATCGTCGGCCCATATGTTGCTCATTGCTCGGCCCGTCAGTTGCTCATCTCTTGACCCGTCGGTTACTCGTACCTTGGCCCGTCGCTCGGCCCATCGGTTGCTCAGCTCTTGGCCTGTCGATTGCTCATCTCTTGGCTGGTCGGTTGCGAATCCCTTGGCCGGTCGATTGCTCATCGCTTGGCCCGTTGGTTGCTCCTCGCTTGACCCGTCATTTGCTCACGCTTGGCTCGTCCGTTGCTCATCGCTTGGCCCATGAGTTGCTCATCGCGTGGCCCATCAGTTGCTCATCCGTTGGCCTGTCGGTTGCTCATCTCTTGGCCCGCCGGTTGCTATCTCTTTGCCCTTCGGTTGCTCATCTCTTGACCTGTCGGTTGCTCATCTCTTGGCCTGTCGGTTGCTCATCTCTTGGCCTATCGGTTGCTCATCGCTTGGCCCGTCGGTTGCTCTTTTCTTGGTTCATCGGTTGCTCATCCCTTGGTCGATTGATTGCTCATCCCTTGGCCTGTCGGTTGCTCATCTCTTGGCCCATCGGTTGCTCATCTTTTGGCCCATTGGTTGCTCATCTCTAACCGATACCGTATTATGACGGCCAATCAATAAAAGGCAACAAGATTTGCCTTGGCTGCCCTGCCACACCATGTTACGGCAGTCCAGTAGCTCCATCAACACAAATATTGTTGAAGCGCGAACAATCACCGGCAATGGAATGCAAGGTGCGTTGAGATTCTGTAACTGCGTTACTTTCCCATACGGTATCCTGTCCGGTGTGACAGAACAAGGTAGGGGTGAATAATGGTGGAAATACACTCCCTCCCCTCCTCCCTCATTTGGGTGTGTCCAGTGTGGGTGGGGGAGTGATACAACCAGATCCAATACCGTACCCGTCCTTGCTACCGGTAGTTGCACTCTACCAATCTGACTTGTGGCTCCAACATCCTGTTGAGGCAGGAAAAGCTCTTTTTTTTTTTCCACTATAGTCATACCATCGTAAACAAATAGCCAAAAATATCTACATATCAACAAACACATTACATAGTTGGGGTTTTCCACATCTCAGCTTTAGTACGCACATCCCCCCTTTCTCAGAAAGTGGCTTCTCTGGCCAGTGTACCGTAGTAGGTACCTACCCTTGGATCTTGGCCCCCTTTGCCCCATGGGGAACGGCTCTCAGGCCGACCTCGGAACCCTCGGTGCCCTTCCCCCCCTGGGGGCGGCTCTCAGGCCAACTCGGGGACCCTCGGTCCCCTTCCCCCCCCTGGGGGCGGCTCTCAGGCCAACTCGGGGACCCTCGGTCCCCTTCCCCCCCCTGGGGGCGGCTCTCAGGCCAACTCGGGGACCCTCGGTCCCCTTCCCCCCATGGGGGCGGCTCTCAGGCCAACTAGGGGACCCTCGGTCCCTTTCCCCCCCTGGGGGCGGCTCTCAGGCCAACTCGGGGACCCTCGGTCCCTTTCCCCCCCTGGGGGCAGCTCTCAGTCCCCTCGTTTTGATGTGCGTGCAGTTGATCCCGTCGTCGTTGCAGTTTTTTGCGCGCGACTAGAAGAGTCCGACTTCAGTCAGCGGCTTTCCATGTTGTGCCAGTTTTCCTGCCATTAGAGAGTATTAAGATTGATAGGCAATGACAGAAGAAATTAGAACTGGAAAGAAGAAGAAGGAAAAGAAAAGAACTTTGCAACAATTTTATATGCAGCGAAATAATTTGTGAGGTGACATGGGGTGCTGCACTGCTGGTTGACGCCCAGTCAAACGCCTTAGGCGCGGCAATGGCAGTTTCTTGACTGCCGCGCCACTGGCCATTTCGTCCGTGGCGATTTCGTCACAGACGCGCGCCAGTGGCGCAAGTGGCGATTTCGCCACACACGCGCGCCAGTGGCGCAAGTGGCGATTTCGCCAGACACGCGCGCCACTGGCGCCAGTGGCGATTTTGTCAAGATCTTACGCCACTGGCGCACGTGGCAATTTCGTCACTGATGCGCCAGTGGCCGTTGCTTCATGCGCAGCTCTTTCCCGGTTGTGCGCACGCCAAGTGCATCGCGGGCGCGATGCTGTACCCTCCGCAGTTAACGCGCGTAGCAGCTACTAAGTTACGTTGCTGCTGCAGCACTTGTTCTAGC